ATCTATCTATCTATCTATCTATCTATCTATCTATCTATCTATCATTGTTTACTTATCTCTTATTTCTTCTCTTTCATGTGACCAGTTTGGCTCTTATTAACTGCAAACTTGAATGTACTTGGCTAAGTTCCAAAATGTGGCTTTCTTGAAGCCGCTTGAAAGAAGGAGGAGGAGGTGGGGGAGGGGGGGGGTGTTTTTTTTTCCTGCAAAAGCTCTATAGGGCGTAAGACAGAGGAATAAAAGACAGAAAGAAAGATGGCAGTAATTGTAATATCCTGAGATTTCTTTTTTTTTCCTTTTTTTTTTTCCGCTTAGCCAAAATTTGGTGCCATTGAGCCGGTTTCACAGGGCTGCCGCTGACTCGCTGCAGGACACGTAAAATCTGATCAAGTTCAGAGACGCGCTGAGTGCTTCAAGCGGCGCTTTTTAACATCAAGCTTTTCACATCCTCACCCCCCCCCCCTTCAATCTGTCCCAGGAAGGAGCTCACATTCTTTATTTTAGAGGGATCTGGACCCCCAAAAAAAAGAGAAAAGAGAAAGAAAAAAAAAAATCAAATCAGTCCTTCATTCTGATGTCGCCCTCGTCCCACCGCATTCACTCTCAGAACATTTCACCGAGAAAGAGTTGTAGAATGAAAAGGTGAGTTTGCTTACTTATCCGCCGTCTCTGTTCTGGAAAAAAAAAAAAAGAAGAGAAAAAGTGGAGGGCCTGTGTGTTCTGCACGCTATGGAGGTTAGTAAATCTACAGTTGGATATTTAGCCTCCGGAGGCTGTGAGGGATTCTGCGTGAACCAAAGCTGCTCCATGTTTAGGCCTGTTACTCATATGTTAATTTAATTGTTGCAAAGGCCTGCGTGCCTCTTTTTTTATGGCCATCTTGCTTATTAGTACAACACCAGCGCCGAATGAGATTTACTTCAAGATTTTTTTTTATTTATTCTACTGTGAGCTGCTCCTTCCCCTCGCTTCTGCGTGTGTGTGAATGTGTGTGTGTGTGTGTGTGTGTGTGTTTGCGCGCGAGCCTCTCCCTCACCGCGAAGGCATAGCTTCTCACAGTTTACCCCCCACCCCCTTCACTCTCACACACTCCGTCTCCTCTCGCTGCGCGCAGCGTGCGCGTGCACACAGTTGACCACGAACTCCCCAAAAAAAAAAAAGAAAAAAAAACCTCGCAGCCTATGCGCACGGGCACATATGCGCGCACGCAGATTTATTGCGACCTTTGTGAACTTTCGCAAGTGACAAGCAGCCTGTTAAGTTTTTTCCCGTCTTCCCTCCATATTTTACTGGCTCGTTGAAACGCGCAGGGCTCCGCACGCCACTTAAATAAATGCGCCGTGTGTTTACAGCCGTAATACCACTACGAAATGATTAAGTGACATGGTTTAGATGACTCACAAATGTTTGTGAGGAGCAGCGTAGGCACCGAGCTCTTGCTGGGAGAAAGGGGGGAGCTGTCATCAACAAGGCCAAATGTAAAGCAACTGTTGCTTTAGAGTTAAATTCAAAACTACTTGGGTCTTTAGCTACGGTTGCATTTTTTGGGGAAAGATAATTAAAGCGAAAGGGGACCACGAACACTTTAAACACAGTTAACCACTTTGCATATCTTTATTTTTTGTCACTTTGGCTGGTGTGTGTTTGTGTATCCTCTTGTGTGCTCTCTCACGCTTTTTTGGGTCTTTTGAAAACTCTTTAGAAGACAGAAAATACAGCTTTTTTGAGTTTAGGAGACTTTGGTGAACTTGTTCTCGGTTTATATGTTTCCTCCAAAACATTTCACAGCGTTCGTCGATCAGGTCGCTCTATCACACTCACTTAACAAAAAAAACAAAAACTACTAAATTCAGTTTAGGTCATTTTGGCAAATTACGCTTGACATTTCGTTATTTTCTATATTTCAATTATTTTCACATTTATCAATTGTAATTTCTCGAAATAACTGAATTTCCATGGAAGCGTTTAGTAACAAGTAATCATTTTCAGTTTAAAAAAAACGTGATTGATTTGAACACAGCTGTAATGCAACGTGATGAAATTCCAGACGTTGTTCTGCAGGACTGCGGTAAGTATAATTTAGTTATTTAGTCATCTCTGCTGGGATTACCTCATTGGGCGTTTGGGAAGCCCATTGGTTATAACATAATCTTCCTCTAACAGAGCATGCGCGTTACCTTAGAAATATCAGAATATTGTAGTGTGCATACCTCTCTGACAGTAGGCCATCCTGCTGGAAAAGAGCAGAACATAACCACCAGCTCTCATGGTAAACAACTCACATTCATATGCTTCTTCTAACTAGAGTTGGTAATATAAAGGATGTTTGTGCTTTGATAAAGGACCAGGGTCATTCATAGCTAACATTTTTTTAAATGAACAGAGTTGTATAGAACCAGATTATTGATTTATTTTTCTGGCAGCAAAGTTGAGCAATTTTTTTAGTCCATGTTGTCTGGCCTGTAGCCCACGCTCAGCTCTGCTGGCTCCAGCCTCTGGTGTTATAGACAAGTTTGTGGACTTGAAGTTAACTCAATAATAACCAAACAAAAGTGTAAAACGCTTCAGCAGCAGCGAAAAGCAGAGGCTAATTCTACTTACATCGACGAATACCACGGCTCAGAGCTGAATTTTCTATTTTGAACAGACAGAAAATGTTTCCCAGATGGATGACTATATGCCCAAATAACAGTTAATCATAATTCATTTGAATTGGACATTGTGCTGAATCAAACTGCAGGATTTGCTGGGATTTAATTTAAAACACTCAACTACGTCCAGTGTGTTTGTGGCTATATTAAGAAAATTAAACACTGTACACTATTTTATGTTTGGAGTCCAATCTCCATTTTATTTGTTATTATATGGTACACATAAGAGCTAATTTCCTTTCTTATTAAAACCACTGCTATGCGGATCTTATATTCCCAAAAATATTTTCCAGAAATTGTATAACTCCTTGCATGTGTGCTTCTGCTTGTTTTTAAAATTCTTTGCGTGGGCGCAAATAATTTCCTACTGAATGCACCATATTTTAGAACATGCAGACTCGTACAGATGATTGCAGTAGTTGATGCTTTATTTCCTTAAAGACACTTTAACTGTTCCGTAATATGAAAATTTCTAACGTAAATCCTCTCGCATTGGGTCTGTTTTTCACTCTGTCTCTGTCTGTTCTGTTGTTTGTGAAATGTTTTATCGTGGAATTTAATTTGCTTCATTCAAAGTGGTTTCCAAACGGTGGCTAGTGCAGGAATAACTGGGCCCGCGTTGTATGTATACAGAGATTATACAGTCAGTTGGGCCTTGAATGACTGCACTTGGAATTCGCCTTCATATGGCTGATGGAGAGAGCTAATTGACTTCTTGCTGTGATTTACTGGAGCATCTGTCCCCAAATGGACCCATCCCAAACCTGTTAATTCATCTAAATTTCATAAAGTGATGGCAAGACTGTGCACCGCCATCCCTCGTCAATTGTAATATCTCATCCCACTCCACAGTAATGTATGCAGATGTTTAACCGTAAACACTCTGCTGCTGCGAAACAGCAAATGAAATTAAAATCTAATTCATTTGAATTTGAAATTTTGAGGGAGTCGTTTTTTTACCTACTTTATTTCCTTCTTTTTAAGCAATGTGTGCTATGTGTGTTGTGCTGGCATAAATCACCGAGCGTAACTCCAGATGATTCCCAGAATATGAGCAGTTTATTAAAGATAAACATGCATGTCTACAAATGCACGCCTTTATTTTGTTGCCGGTGCGTAAATAGTTTCATATTTTTGAAGACATTCGCTTTCCAGGGTTAAATGCACTGACCTTGAGCGGTTTTTAGTCTTCTCTGGTGCAGAGTTTGGGGTTTCAGGTCTGATCTTTTAGCTGGCGTTTGACTCCGGGGCCATTTTGTCCCTGCACTGCCTGTTGTGACTGACTTGGTGCAGACTGGCTGCACAGGAAGGGACAGGCACCTTCTGCATGTGCAGACTGGGCCCTGACATGAATGTTTTGATGGCCGGGTGTGATCATTTGACTTGGATTTTGTCTGACTTGTCCAGAAACAAACATAAATGGCGGCAGTCCGTTATACGCAGTGCTTGAATTGCTTGAATTCAAATTTCAGAATGCAAAAAAATGTGTTTCGCTGTAAACATTTCCACAGTCACCATATTTTAAATGCCACATTTTTATTGTTTGGGTAAATGCATTTTTTTTTGTTTTGTTTTAAATGTAGTTTTGCATAGCTGCAGTACCAAAATTCTTAATAACTTCTTTATTGTGATATTCTTAAATGAGTTTGTCACCCTAACGAAACCTCTCTCCCTGGTTTTAATCACATGAAATTTGATTTATTTTTTTCTTCACGGTTTATATAAGGACACATTTAAATGAACACTTTTACTGATCCAATACAGCTCTTTCTTGTTTTATTTATTTATTTCTAATTCTCTAAATGAAAATTGTTGACTAATGTTATCTTCAAGCTGTTCATGGGGCTAGAAACTAATTAAATCATAATCACCTTATTGCTCCTAAACGTCCCTATTAATATCATTTAATAATCTTAGCCCCTCAGCAGTATCCTTCACATAGAAATACCACACTGTAGTCAGCAGTTATTTTTTAAAAAGACCTGGAATGCTCATTTTTCTTCCTGGGACTCTATTAGCCATCTGCACAGTGAGACCCTGCAGATGGAGACTGAAGAGCATCAGGTGCGTCAGTCCAGGTTCCATTTCCGTCCAGAGATTGGAAACCTCTCAGTCCACGGGCCTGTCCAGACCCCAGACTATTTGGGAAATGCTTTAGGTCAAAGGCTGAGCGTCCATTACAGTCCTGACGGGATCAGGCTTCTCTGGGCCTGTCTGATAACGTCTAGTGGACGGCTGGTCAGGCCTTTTCCCACAGAACCCACGGCAGGTGACGTCACTTTAACGAGGCAGGAAAAAAATTGTTTCTTTCTTTCTTTCTTTCTTTCTTTCTTTCTTTCTTTCTTTCTTTCTTTCTTTCTTTCTTTCTTTCTTTCTTTCAAATCATATCGTGGAAGGTGGAAAAAGGGAACTCTTTGATGATAGAGAAGTTTTTTTCGCTCCAAAATAGACTTAAAATAAACGTATAAAATGCCACTAAACTGGGCAGCCGGAGCTTGAGCCACGTCTATTCGAGCTGACGTGCAGAGATCCGCGCTCCGTGCACAGCTCCGTGTCCTCACAGCACCCCAAAGCAAGAAAGTTTGGGAGCTTCGTGCAGCAGCGAAGCCCACAGCTGCTGCCTGTCACATTTCGCAATTTATACTTTACATAACCATTTTTTTCCTTCAAATCTCCTTCTCTCTCTTCTTCTCTCTCTCTTTTTTATTATTATTTTTCACCACAATTCAGCCAGAATGTAACCAGAATGTAATATGTATGGCCTAGCTACTTTGGGTTATTATTAATTTATTTAGTGTCATAATGAGAAAATCTTTATTTCCGCAAATGGTTTACATTTGGCTTTAAGGTATAAAATTGTTAAACATGTTCTCGTTTCCTCCCAAATGACACAGCAGGGGGGAAAAAAGTCTGTGTTACACTTTTTCCAAAAAGGATAAGGATGAAAATGTGGTCCTGCATGTCGTCCACTCCACTACTTGTTGCTTTTAACAAAGTTTTTTTTAACCCAGAGAACTTCAGACTAACAGATATGTATGCCCTACTGACAATGCACGTTTATAATATAAACTATAGGTGTACATTTTCCAACACCCAAAAACCACCCAAAAAGATGTCAACAATATATTATATAAACATTAAAAATAAGTTATTTTAACTGTGTGGTTACACTAACTCATGTTTAACAAAATGAAGCAAAAACACTGTGTAATTTGAAAATGATAATAACAAACAGCCCTGAATTAAGTTAGGAATTGTAACATTTTTTATTATTTCAAATGTTGCATTCCTCTCATAATTAACGTCTTGACAATAATTGGTCGGGACACACAAAGGACCGGTCTCCATTATTCCAACAAGCAGGAGTCGTGGATTTGGCAGGGTTGTAGTGGAACAGAAAAGGGTCTGTGGTTTTGTTGTGTTGTGCTGTTCGAATCTCCATCTCATCTTTTCCAACTTGGACCAGATGAGCAGTTTCAGACACGAACTTACGCGTTTCTCCCAAAGCAAGAGAGATTGCAAGAGACGCGTCTTATCGCATGAGAAGGGGACTCCGGAGTTAAAGAGGCAGCGATATTGGGGAGCAGGATCGCGGCACATTTCAAAGCGTTTTCTCTGCGATATTTGAAAACGGAGTCGTGCGGCGAACGCCTGCGTGTCCCTTTTAAAACAAACCCTGCGCCTGTCAATCACGGCGCATTCCAACCAATCCCAAAGCTCCCTTTTTAAAAGCAGGTTGGCCTGCTGTGCTTTTATATTGCACCATGGCCTGTTTCGAAGCATTTTTACTACCACGGTTATTGCCACAAATCAAGAGGGCAAAGTGAACCGGCATGGGACTCACAGCAACTTTAAGGCAACTGAGTCTGCTTCCTACTTCTGCGAAGTTCACGGCCAAGAATTTCACGTGCAGATGATAAACACCACGGAACATGGGGGAACTGAATTCGGAGGTGTAGCCCGAGTGCTGAGCCGGTTGATTTTGCACACTCACAGCCAAACTCCCAACAAAAAAAAAACATGACAAGCCTTTCCAGGTTTAGTGGCTGCCCTCTCTCTTGCGTCAACCCCGGGGAGAGCAATACTGAACCCAGCGTGGTGCTGCCACCTTTGGCAGGAGAGCACATGGGACACCCCACTGGCAGTTCCTTAAAACTCTGCCCCTCGCACAATTTGCGAGACTACCCCGAGACGAGGTCCAGTGCATATGTTGACCACTCGATTCCCAGTTTTTCAGACTCTGGATACCCCGGCCACCGGCTCGAGCACAGCCCTAGGGGCATTATCATTGGAGCCAATCTCTCTGGAGCCGGCATGCCACCCGTCACTGATCAACTGGCATCCAGGGCTAACCAACATGGCGGGATTGGAAGATATCGTGACTTCACTGCAGGCTGCAGGGACAACAGGAGTCATGCTTTCTTCACCAGCTACCAGGAGCAGGCCCACGCCTCCGCCGACGCTTCCCGGGACCTCAGCGGCCAGATGATGCTGGGGCTACCTGGAGACCTCCTCACCCGGACTCACCCTTACGGCCAGGGCATCAGCCCCAAGGGGAACGGCCAGCAGATCGTCACGCAGTTCCTGGGTCTCTACAAACCCCTGAACATGGCCATCCAGCGGGGAGGGGGCGACGCTTTCCTCAGGTGCTCCAAGCAGACTGTGAAGCAGGAGCTGGTCTGCAAGTGGACAGACGGCCAAGAGGGGGCCGGGAAGGTGGCGTGCTCCAGAGCGTTCGGGACCATGTATGAACTTGTCACCCATGTGACGGTGGAGCACGTCGGAGGACCCGAGCACTCCGAGTACGTGTGTCACTGGGAGAAGTGCGCGAGGGAGAAAAAGCCTTTCAAAGCGAAATACAAGCTGGTGAACCATGTCAGAGTCCACACAGGGGAAAAGCCCTTCCCCTGCCCATTTCACGGCTGCGAGAAAGTTTTTGCGAGATCAGAGAATCTGAAGATCCACAAGAGGACTCACACAGGTCAGTTTGCAATCTTGATCCTGTAATATTAATGGGGTTAAAACTGTGGCCAGATAGCATTTTGATTTAAAGAATATTTTTGAGAATACAATTGTATTTTTTATTTGTCAATATCAAACGTTTATGTTATTATTATTATTATTATTATTATTATTATTATTATTATTATTATTATT